TGCAGAGCCTACAACATTCCTTGGTGCAACAATTTCAAAACGTTTTGTTGACCCAAGTGATTCTCGAAAATGCTGGTCGATTGGTTTGACTAACTATTTGCTTGAAGCGTTACGTGTCGTTAAGTCTGGAATCTCACATCAAAAATACAACTTGAATTTGAAAAGAAAAGTGTCTGCTGCCTTACCTTCTGGTTATAAGCCTGAGCTTGACAACACTGATTTTGTTGATGCAGAGACACACACACTGTATATGCAACTGATTGGTATATTACGGTGGTTGGTTGAGCTTGGAAGAATGGACGTTTGTGCTGAAGTCTCGATGATGTCTTCGTACAATGCCATGCCTCCTGTTGGACACTTTTCATGCGGTATTACACCTTTTTGGTTATCTTGAAACAATCCAAGCCGTGAGATTGTCATGGATTCTGCATATATGGCCCTGACCGACATACCAAAATCTGAATGGCATGAATTCTATCCATGGGCAAAAGAAGTACTGCCTCCTGATATGCCAGACGCCCTTGGACGAGTGGTAAAGATTGTGATGTTTGTTGATGCCTCACATGCTTCCAATCTTGTTACACGTCAATCCAGAACAGGTGTTCTTATCCTCTTAAATCATGCACCGATCGTTTGGTATTCAAAGAAGCAGAATGCTGTCGAAACAAGTTCTTTTGGAAGTGAATTTGCTGCATTGAAGACTGGTGTTGAATTGGTTGAAGGTCTAGTATACAAATTGCAAATGATGGGCGTACCGATTGATGGCCATTGCCATACTCTTGTTGATAACAACTCTGTTGTGATTATCGCAAGACGCCCGGAATCTGTCTTGAAGAAGAAAAGCAATTCTGTTGCTTATCATTATGTTCGTTTGAAATGTGCAAGTGATCTCATTCGAGTTGCTTGGGATGGAACCAAAACAAATCTTGCTGATATGTTAGCAAAGATTCATACTGGTAGAGAACGTGCTCGTCTGGTGGAATTTATTATGTATGAAGAAGACAAAATTCCGAGAGTGGTACAATCTGCCATCAAAGCTCTGAATTGTGCTTTTTGGTCTGCCTCCACACTAAAGCCGATGAATCGCCTTTGCTTTGAGTGGGCATGGTCATCCTTGGACTGTGTCGGCTTGGCGTCCTCCACGAGAGGTACCTGCATTTTATGTTATTGTTACAATGTTTCTTGATTCTTGTATCAAGTCAACATTGAGGGGACCATTATTTTGGGAAGTACGTGGTCTATCCTCCGTACGTGTAGTTTTGTAGTCTGAAAGGATCTGGTAGTCACAAAATTTCCTTGTCTATATTTCGTCAAGTAATTGATCTGTTTTGGCTGACTAGCAGCGCATTTTAACGAAAACACGTCCACACGAACATTTTCCCTCCAAAACTGAGTCGGAGCCCGGATTTTGGTTGGTCGGCGGCCAAATATTTGGGCAATATCTTTGCCTGTCTCAGCCGAATCTTCCACAACCATTGTAATGCATAGGTTCTGACACAACCAAGTGCCTTCAAGTGCCTTCAACACCTCATAACAACGCAAGTCGCCTGGAATCTGTCTTGAAAAAGAAAAGCAATTCTGTTGCTTATCATTATGTTTGTTCAAAATGTGCAAGTGATCTTATTTGGGTTACTTGGGAAGGAACCACAACAAATCTTGCCAATATGTTGACAAAGATTCATACTGGTAAAGAACGTGCTCGTCTGGTGGGATTTATTATGTATGAAGAAGACAAAATTCCGAGAGTGGTACAATCTGCGATCAAAGCTCTGAATGTGCTTTTTGGTCTGCCTCCACACTAAAGCCAATGTATCGCCTTTGCTTTGAGTGGGCATGGTCATCCTTGGACTGTGTCGGCTTGGGCGTCCTCCACGAGAGGTACCTGCATTTTATGTTATTGTTACAATGTTTCTTGATTCTTGTATCAAGTCAACATTGAGGGGACCATTATTTTGGGAAGTACGTGGTCTATCCTCCGTACGTGTAGTTTTGTAGTCTGAAAGGATCTGGTAGTCACAAAATTTCCTTGTCTATATTTCGTCAAGTAATTGATCTGTTTTGGCTGACTAGCAGCGCATTTTAACGAAAACACGTCCACACGAACATTTTCCCTCCAAAACTGAGTCGGAGCCCGGATTTTGGTTGGTCGGCGGCCAAATATTTGGGCAATATCTTTGCCTGTCTCAGCCGAATCTTCCACAACCATTGTAATGCATAGGTTCTGACACAACCAAGTGCCTTCAAGTGCCTTCAACACCTCATAACAACGCAAGTCGCCTGGAATCTGTCTTGAAAAAGAAAAGCAATTCTGTTGCTTATCATTATGTTTGTTCAAAATGTGCAAGTGATCTTATTTGGGTTACTTGGGAAGGAACCACAACAAATCTTGCCAATATGTTGACAAAGATTCATACTGGTAAAGAACGTGCTCGTCTGGTGGGATTTATTATGTATGAAGAAGACAAAATTCCGAGAGTGGTACAATCTGCGATCAAAGCTCTGAATGTGCTTTTTGGTCTGCCTCCACACTAAAGCCAATGCATCGCCTTTGCTTTCAGTGGGCATGGTCATCCTTGGACTGTGTCGGCTTGGGCGTCCTCCACGAGAGGTACACTGCATTTTATGTTATTGTTACAATGTTTCTTGATTCATGTATCAAGTCAACATTGAGGGGACCATTATTTTGGGAAGTACGTGGTCTGTCCTCCGTACGTGTAGTTTTGTAGTCTGAAAGGATCTGGTAGTCACAAGTTTCCTTGTCTATATTTCGTCCAGTAATTGATCTGTTTTGGCTGACTAGCAGCGCCTTTTAACGCTCCTAGACGCGCACCATGTGACATTGAACTCTCGTCAGTCACGTAGCTTCACGGTGCATTGCCTATGCAATGGTACTGGTCGAACGCGCAACAAGGTGCATTTCCGCCCCTCCGGGACCAGACTATTCTATTTCGATCCAGAAGGCGATTTAAGTGAGACGTTTAAGCGTTTCCCCAAGAGCAAAAAAGTTTTGTCAAGCATCGAACGCCAAACACACAAAATACTTAATGCCACGGTAGCTGAGAATCTAAAAGCTTTCTCTGCACGTCAACAAATGCGAATTGCGAGGGCTCGCGAGGTCTATGCTGACGTAGGACAACCATCTTTTGAGAACTTCCTACGCATGCTAAAGTATCGTCAGATACCGGACGTGCCAATAACAGAAGAAGATGCAAAGAACATGATCCGCGCCTATGGATCTGATGTCCATGCACTCCATGGAAAACTGTTCGCAGGCGACCAAATGCCGTTCCAAAATAGCTATAGTTGAAGAATCTGCCAGGTATATAAACATTCTCCCTAACGCTGATGGCGTGTCGGAGGTTTTTAGTCCATTTGCTCTACTTGAGGGCCAGCACACGAACTATGAGAAGCACTGTAAGCTTCGCGTTGGAACATATTGCAAAGTCCATGACGAGCCTGATCCAACAAACACAGATACCGTCCGTACGACCTCCGGGATTGCTCTCACCCCAACCCCAAATTTCGTGGTACAATGTCAAGTTCTCTTGGCAAAAGAATCACGGTGAAGAAAAACTGCTTTCCAGCAATCCCCGTAACCCTTCCCGTGACGCTCTGCGGAGTCTCCATAACATCGTCAGCCGATTCGCACGGATTGTCGGTCTGGATAAGACCGATATTCCACTTGCAGTGTACAAAGGGTCCTTTGGTGAAAAGTTTTTCATTCACAGCAAAGTCATTGCTTCCACCCTTCGGACCTTGGCCAAGAAGACTTACAACCTTACTGATCGCAATCTGCAGCAACATTACAAATGTACATTCCACTCTCTTCATGCTGGGGCGTCGGTGATCCTTCAAGCTGGGGCGGCGGTGATCCTTCACGCCGCGGGTATCAACGCCATCCAGATCAAGTTTCTCTTGTGCTGGCGCTCCAATTCTTTTTTCCTTTACCTTCGCAATGTTGCGCACCTTTCGGAGCAACAAAACCGGGCAATTAACCAACTTGCCTCCGCTACTCAATCTGAAGTGACTGCAGCTCGAGCTGCTTCTCGACTCATACCAAACATTGTTTAGCCATACCATCACATCTACTACTCTCCTCCTAATTCCTTCCCTCTCCACTTTGTCTTTCTCCCTTTCTTTCCTTCCCTCCTTTCGCTTGCTTTAACTTCCCCTCCCCCTTTTGTTTTTCCCCTTTATGATCGAACGCCCAGCTTTCGATCCTTGGAACTTTCTTTTTCTATTCTTTTTTGTTTCTTTTTTCTTTTTTTATGGATTGGTACAAAACCCACGAAATTGCATGATGACACGGGGAGTTTGCCAAAGTACTTTCTTAGACCTGTTATGTGACGTGTTTGAGAATTTTGGTTTGGACTGTAGCTCGGTACCCCATTTGGT